TAAAAATATGTATCTACTCTTGAAAAAAACGTTTATCAGCCATAGGTAGCACGTTGATATGCTGAACAGTTTCAAAGTATGCCGAGTGTGCTCCGTACACACTTTGATAAAAATTGTTATGTAGCAGATGCTCCTAGCGGATTTTGCCGCATTTTCTGACATGTGATAAGACTTTGACATGTGAAAAACTGATGACCTATTTAAGGAGCAAAGCCCCTTGTAAGGGATCACCTTTACATTAAAAAAGAAATCAGTCGGATTAATGTGTGAAGTGCCTCCCTTGATGAGTGGTAAATGTGGGTGGGAGGTAAGGGGAATATTTCGTAGTGATACTTCTTCTGGCATTCGTCCAAATGTGAGTGCAGCTTCTACAGTGCACCATGGAAAACGTTGGTCTGTAATGGTATTAAACAATAATGTGTTTCTGAAAAGGGCGAAATGGTTCCAGTGGTAAAACCGAACATTGGCCTGCCGCACCAACAGCCATCACAGAATAGGAACCAGTCAGGCGCACCATTTTTTTCTTACAAAAATAATGTCAGCTATTAGATGGTGTTTTACAAATTTAAAACAACAAAGTTAAGAGAAAGTCTTTCGTTGACACAAATACTTTATTAACGGGTAAATTTCAACGCAAGATTTCGCGCCGTTAGTAGTGTGACAAAAGGCCAGAAAACACAGTTTACAATAAATAGCTTATGAATCATATAATGCAACTGACAAACATGGCTTAATAACCCATATCAGCTTTTCAGCAATAAGTTGACAGAACAGAAACGTTTTATATACAGAGCATTAATTAAATCGTCGCACTATTTCAAACAAAAATCCCGGCATTTTCCTGAATTTAGGAAAGCTCCAAAAGAACCAAATGAAAGCTTTGACTTTTATCGACGTTGTTTTATTAGCAGATAATACTGAGACTAAACCCGACGGCAGAAAAAATAGAGCTTGTTGTTTAAAGTGTTCATTTGGACAATAAGGTATCTCCTCTCATCTTAACTATGCGTTCTCAAACCCGTAGAGTTTTAAACCTCGTTACCCGTGGAATCTTGACTGAGACCGCCTCCGACCTACATTCAGAAATTGTGGAGTTCACAATATGAAGTGCGTTATGCGAACGAACCACTGGGATACTGGATATTATGCAGCAGGGTATGTTATGACGAACGCAATTTTACCGAAGGGCGAACACATGCCTTGCTTGATGTAAAAGCTTAACAAATGTATCTCGGTCGCATCCCATTTTGGTGTAAATTGTGTATCTAATTAAGCGTCATCTCAGAATGATTGGGATACTAATATCTTGCTTCTACCAAGCTGTCATTATTGCGTACCCAGCAAACGATGTTTCATAGACCTTCTCGTGACACCTTCATGAAAATCAACGAAGAACTCAATAAAACCTTCAACAGCTATACATATATGTATGTCTTTTATTTGCTGCATTCTTATTGAGCACATATGTACTTTTTGTTGTCCTACTCATTGTTTGTTTCAAAAGAAGCAAAAAAGTCATTTTTACGGATTAGTTTATAAAGGAGCTTTCAAAAAATCCAGACATCACAAAGAAAGTTTTTGAAAGTAAGAATTTTAAACCAAATATTTAGGAGTGCCTAATTTCTGTGGGTTAAAGGCATCTAGCCATGATGAACATTCTTCTAACTATACGAATATTTTTAAAGAGTTTTGGAGTCACTATGGTAAACACATTTTAACCAAATCTGCTGGGTTGTTCGTCTGCATGTTTGGGGTGGGATGTCCCGTCATTCTTAACCGTCCTGACCGTCAAACTGTACTCTGTAATACACATCTATAGAATCAGGCCCACAGAGTTAACCTTAGTTCTTGCGTTGCAGGTTATACGAACAAACAGTTTATAATGTAATTTAACCCGTGTAGATTTCCTATGCTTAACTAAAAAACAGTGATTATTTAAGACTCAGGAGACAATTGCTTGCATGCCAAACATTTTCACATGCGAAAAATGTTACCATAGGTTTTCACGTACTTTTAGGTCACAAAAGAGCGTAGCTATCTCATGTTGGAAGTTAGCTTACTTTTTCAATGGATGTTTGGTCTTTTGTTGCAAAAAACACAGCAGTCATGAAATCATTTTTATAAACGTTCAAGAATATTGAGAGTGCTGTCTTTCTGTGCAGCAAAGTCAGCCTTAAATTGACACAAGACAGCCTGGTTCTTAATTTACAAGATAAAATGTAGACGTGTTTAAGAATGCTAGCATGTTTACACAACAATCGGGCAAACATACCTACTTCACTTGTTAAAAAATGCAAACAGTATCCTTAAGTACTTTCAGTAGCTGGAGCAGAATTTTAATAAGTGTTTTATGTTTTGTAGCAGTTAACAAAATAATTCTAATTATTATGAGATAAAATCAAGGCTTAACACACTTTTTCCATGAGCAAACTCGAAACTCATTGCTCGTCAATCGTCTAAACTTATGCACGTAACGAATCAAACCTCTGGACTTAGTTTTGCTCATCATTTCATCCGTCATTTATTCCATCAAACCTTACCACTTTGTTTCACAATTGACGACAGTGAATGATAAATGTCAAACATGGTCGGGGCTTTTTTCACCAACCCATCATTGCGATTACTTTTACTGCTCACTATTATTATCTAATCTGTAACCATATTTTATACACTTTTCCAGAATATCCTGGACTCTGTAAATTTCACATGAGTAAGGCTTCACTCATATATAATTTCACTACAAAGATGGTGTTATATCTGCTGACTCGTCAGTCTGTGACATCTGCTGCTGACACGCTCCAGTGCCTAGTGTCGGAGAGAAAAGACTCACAGAAGGGAACACAACAGCTGTATTCCGAACAAGCGAGTGAGTGAGAGAGCGAGTGCGAGAGCAAAAGTTACAACGGCCCCACGCTATTTAAAGGGGACTTTCTGACATTGATCCAGGCTGTCTGATAGGCGTTAGTGATCACCCATCAACATCGATCGTGCCTCTGTGAAAAGCCTGAACGCTGATCACATTCGGTCGTGCTTCTGTGGCGCGCAAGAACACTCATCAGGTTTTGCTGAATTGATTGAATGATTGACTGGCCTGGATGCTTGCCGGCTTTCCAGTTGAGTTTTTGGTGGAGCAGTAGGTTCCGGGCGTTCTGAATTTGCTTTCGGGAATCTGACTTTCTTGATAGATGGTTATAGCCAAGATGTGTTACAACACAGGTGCTTAAGCTAAGTGACGCAGTTTTCATAGTCACTATGATTATCAGACTTGTCGACGCTAGTAAGGAGTCTGGTTTTGCTGGTGATAAGGAAGAAACTTCATTCGTTAGTCTCCAGCTAAAGCTTATTGTCTGTTGCACACTCCATCTCTAATTCTTAAACGGCCACATTTGCAAGAAATTTATGCACGTGTTGGTAAATTGCAACTGAATATAAAGCTTATAGTGTTTTTCATCTTTACCTTTTTAAGTGATTATCAAATTATCAGCTTTATATATATAGAACCGCAAAAACCGACCTATTCTTCCTGTGCTCTGCTACATTCTCATTTCTTTCAGTGTTTGTCAGGATCGCCAAGCCGTATGCCCACAAAAATGCAGTGACCTTATCAGAGTTATGTTGTAATGCTACATTGTGTGAAAACAAAACTTCGTACTCCACACACACCATTAAGCCAAAAACTGACCTGTGGACCTCAATATTTTATGTGTCCATGCTCATCCAGCAAGTTTTGATGACAAAAGATTTGACTCTTGGTCGGCGTGCTCTTAACCCAGTACATTAATCAATGTGGATGCATCATCTAAGGTTATAACTCATAATGGATGTGTATTTCTTCCAAATGACCTAATTTGTGCGGCCATAGCATTACGTGTACTTGAATTTCTACTTAAATAAGAAGCTGAAATAGATCTCGGAGGTCTCATTGCGCGTTAGAGTTTGCCGAAGTGTGACATTTTTTTGACATAAATGCGACTCCACCGGCTTTCACTATAGTTCATCACCACTTCATCACTACTGAGTCACCTCCCAAAATTCTATATTTAGGTACGCTACAAAATTTTATTTTCATTCTGTGGTCCCGGATACCGTTACTGGTTTGTTATATTTATGGTTTTACAGTTCAAGAATAATGGTTTTTAAATTGCACCGAACAAGACAGTGCATGATTTTATTCCGCGTGAATTTTCATCTACCCGTTTTCATTAAGCCTGTGATGAGGTATCCCTCAAGCACCACGGCCCAACTTCGATAAAATTGTGAACTCTTGTTGAGTCTGAGTAGTAATTTACAGAGCATATATTGACGTTATTTCTACTGATACATTTTGTAAGATGGAACCACAATAAACTTGCATTTATGTGTCGCCAAACGGTGTCAGAGAGTAAGCAAACACACAAAAACCTGCATATGTTGTCTAATAGGGAAGAATACGTGCAAGTATAAATGGTGTAAACTCAGGAACTCGTGGGTTGACATGTATCTACCTCCAGATGCTTCCAGGTGAATGCAAGCGAATTAAGATTTAATTGGTTACGAAGCAAAAACCCATCGTCGCAAGTGACCACGCCTACGGCCTAAGGCTGCTGTGCGTAAATTAATTTACAGTAATGCAATATGGAAATATCAAAGACATGTCTGGAATCGCATTTATATGTGTTTTTTTAACTTGACAATAATCACCTAAATAACACAAGTGCTCATGGAAAATAATGATTAGAGCATCTTATCGAGAAAAACGGTATAGTGATCAGTTTCTCGGAGGATCTTAATCTTTACAACACATCTCGATTAGTATGTGCTTCGGATTCCATTTCTCTACCTTAATTGTATTCATCCGCATTCTAACACTGGTAGGGTTTTCACGCCCTGCTTTTCCTTCCGTGCAAGTGATGCAGTGTATTTACCGCTCAAAAGCTATCTTTATTGGCGTGTCAAACCTTATATCGAAAACTATCACTTAGGTTGGCACGTGTGCAATAGTACCAATCAGTTTTACTTACTTCCATTGTCACTTTATTCGAAAACCCGCTACTAAAGGTCACATGAGTTAAGGTTATAATGATGGAATCAAACAAACGGAATGCCGTCCTAATGAAACGTTTTAATTGCACAGACGGAGCAGGCATTTGGTTGTTTTCATCGCCTTTAATCTGTATCTGCATACCATAATGAATTTCATTTTTAACTAAGATTAGCTTATTCAGCTTTGCTTTACACGTGGGGACACAGATTACATTGAGGAGCATCGGGTGACGCATTAGAGATAAGTAATTCTTTCTGATAACCGTAGTGCTAGGTGTAAAAATTGCCTTAAAGTGTAACATTTCTATACATAAATGCCCATACCGAAAATGGACCTACGGTTGTTCGTAAGCATTTCAATTTTAACTTTGTTCGTCTACCCTTGCTTATTCACCAATATTTCCTCTAAAACTATAGACTGTACAGGGAAGAGTTTCATTTATAGCGTTGCTAGTTGACGATAATGATTCGAATCCTTAGAATCGCTCAGGTGCGTCAAATTTATTTAGTTCCTTTATTAGCACTTAAGGTCTAATTCTGGTGAGTTTTCACTGACTTCCGTGGTTCCGTGTGATCCAAGCGTAGGGGCAGTGGAAGATTTTCCAGCGAGTTTGATTTCTCCACATTCTCCTCCTTCGTGTTACAAAATGTTTTGAAGGAGTGCATGAACGATATTTACTTCCCTCCCGGCAGTGTAACCCCACAAGGGAGCAACTATTCACAGATGTCGCAATCGTCCCATCAGCCAGATAGACTGGCCAGCCAGTTTGGTGGGTATTTTATAACTGGCAGCACACGTTGCACCAGAGGCCAAAGGCTGGACTATCTTCACCAGAATGATAAGCTCTTGATAGTGACGTTCTACCACCTGGAATGCAACGGCCCAAACATCAAGCTTTTTTATAGACCAAGGCCGATATGCGGCGAACTGAAGTTCTGTAGTGCTCTGCTCTTTTGTGGCCCAACTTCAGCTGAGGTGCGGTAAATTGGGAAAACGCCGACCAACAGCATATATAAAGTAGACGACATGCCGCTGGTTTTTGTAAGAATCCGTAAACACGCTTGTGTACTTGCGTCGGAACCTGCCTATTTTCGTTTTAGCCGTGCCAATGTGCAAGTCACCGCTTTGTTCGCATATATAAGACGACATGCCGCTGGTTTTTGTAAGAATCCGTAAACACGCTTGTGTACTTGCATCGGAACCTGCCTATTTTCGTTTTAGTTAGCCCAATGTGCAAGTCACCGCTTTGTTCTCCGAACGGTGACGCTGCGCATTGCACAAATCACCGTGGACGAATACTTTCGGTTCGCTTGA